TAGATAGATAGATAGATAGATAGATAGATAGATAGATAGATAGATAGGCAGGCAAGCACCAGAAAACAAAATCAGTGCCTCCTCACCCATGGTGTCCGCCATGCCAAACAGTAAAAAAGATTATAACCCTGAGAGAGGGAAATGCCTGACATGCAAATGCAGTGAACTCAATGAAGTTGTCCAGAGAGCATACAGGCATGTAGCAGAAGAAAAGCAGGAAGCATGTGCAGGCCCAGCCTCAGGCACTGCAAGTCCCAAAGAACAAAAGATGGGTGGCCAGAAAACCCAGCAGCCTTGGAGGAGACAATAATCTAAGAGGCCATCATCCTTCAAGGTCTCCAACAACGGACAGCATGTCAGCCCTAGGTCTTCTTCTATATGATACAATTGAGATTCAGACAAATAACTGTCCTAGGTTAGGAAGTGAACTCTAAGTGGTAGAACAAAGATTCACACTATCTGATTCTACCCAATAGTGCACCTACCTGAAGAAACAATGAATAAAAAAAGTTCAAAGTTCTTATTGAAAACTACAGGCTAGCTGAATGCAATATTAAAAAATTTAAAAAATTAGCTCAGGGCTGGGAAGACAGCTCGAAGTTAAGAGTTCTAGATGTTCTTCCAGAGGATCCTAATTCAATTCCCATCAACTACATGGCAGTTCACAACCAGTCTCAGGAAATATGAGCCCTCCTCTGGCCTCTGTAGGCACCAGCATACACACAATACACAATACACATACGGGTGACCACCTATACTATATCATCTAAGACTGGGCACAGTGGTACAACATCTTTATTTACACCCATACTATATCATCTAAGACTGGGCATGGTGGCACACCTTTATTTACAGCACTGGGAAGGCAGAGGCAGGTGGTGCCGCCTCTGTCTGCTCAAGACTAGCCTGGTCTATATAATGAGTTCCAAGCTAGCCAGGGCTAAATAATGAGAACCTTGCTTTAAAACAAAACAAAAACAAAAATCATCTAAGTTAGTCTTTTACTGCAAATACTTAAAAACAGTATTTTCTTTAGTATTATGACAGGTTTTAAATTTTTTTCAAACATTTTGTTTTTACTTACAAGAGTGTGTATGTGTGTGTGAAAAAGAGAGAGAAAGAGGGAGGGAGAGAGAGGGAGAGAGAGAAAGAGAAAATGAATAGAGTCCAGAAGTCATCTGACACAGGCACTGGGAACCTAACAGCTCCTCTGGAAGAGCAGGAAATGCTTTTATCCACTGAGCCATCTCTCCACTGAACCATCTCTCCAGCTCCACATTGCAAATTTTTTAAATTACTTTGTTTTTCTTCTTTTGGTACAGGGTCACTCTCTATAGGTTTATAGATCAGGCTGGCTTCAAACTTGTGACAGTCCTCCTGCCTCTGCCTCCTGATGGCTGGGTTACAAGAAGCATGACCTAACACTCCTGGTTCTAGAATTCAGTAATACGTAATAAAAACCGCAGTCTAGGGCTGGGGATATAGCTCACTGGTAGAACACATGATCAGTGCATGTGAGGAATCTCCAGTATCAAAATGAAAAAAGAAAAGAACACAATAATAATCCTCAAGAGTCTCTTGCTGCCTTAAAATTATTAGTAAGGAAAACAATGATGCCTGAGTCCTCACTGCTAATGTGAGATAAGTTTTTGAACAGACAAATGCTTCCCCAAAATCAACCTGCCTATCCTGCAAAATGCCAGGGTATAGCAATCTGCCCAATACCTATATACTTAAAAATAACAGACAAGTCAAAGGCATGCAGGGATGGCTAAGAGTCCTTCCTGCTCTTTTAGAAGATCCAAGTTTGACTTTAGCATGCATGTCAGGTGTCTCAAAACCATCTATAACTCCAGCTCTAAGCTTTCCAGTGCTCCCCCCCCTCCCTGCCTGTGCAGACACCCACATATATGGCAAAAGCACACACAAATATATACAGAGAAAAAGATTCTCCTGCAAAAATTCTATTTTAAAATCCAAAATTAACACATTAAAATCCCTGGTTAAAAAATAAAAATCCCCAAAGACAAGGCAAATAGTTTGTGTTTAACAACTATGACCAGATAAATAAAAGTTAAAAAAAAAAAAAAAAAAAAAAAAGGCCAAAACAGTTCTACCAGCTAGACATGGGAGCACATGCCTACAATTCTAGCATAGTGAAGACTGAAGCAGCATGTTTAAAGCCAGCCTGGGCTATATACAGGAAGACTCTGTCACAAAAAAGCAAAACTGGAAACAATGACAAAATAGGAGCTGACACATTACAAAAATGAAGGAGTTCTAAGGATAGGGGACATGTCAAGCAGATTATAGGTTGCATATTCCTGAAATACTTGGAGAAAATGTGTTTTAGAGTTCAGATACATAAGACAGGTTCAAAACTGAGAAGAGTACACAACTATATGAAAGTCACTTATATTTCAGATATACCTTAAACTTACAGACTTGATGTCCTAAGATAAACATTTAGTTTCAGTCTGTGTGCCTTGACTATGGTCTGTAATGTGAGGGCAGGCATGGAACTCTCCACTGCAGCTATCACATTAGTATGCCAGTTCCAGATTAGGAACATTTTGGAATTTGAAGCTCAGGTTGACTAACGTGTATTTCTCAATAATGTGCTACATTACATCTTGGGTTTTTTTCATTATTAATATTACACAAATGCTATAACACTTGTAGAATTAAGGTAGATCCTAACTTTTATAACACAAGAAAAAAAAAAAGCTGGTAAAAGTGTAAATTTAAATTTCTAAGCACCTTAGGCTTCAGACAGTTTCAGCCTTGACTGTGAGAATCTTTGAGATCTACAAATTAAATATAGCATAAGAATATTTTAGATATTAAATGAAGCAAGAAATAAAAGTAAATATAATCATTATTCTTCTATCATTTACAAAGCTAAAACAAAGTGAGGGTGGTGGAGAGATGGCTCAGCGGTTAAGAGCACTGGCTAGTCTTGCAGAGGTTTGGGGTTCAATTCCCAGCACCCACACAGTAGATCACAGCCACCTGTAACTCTTGTTCCAGGGGATCTGATACTGAATTCTGACCTCTACAAAGGGATCAGGTACACACTTGCTGAACAAATTACATGCAAGACAAAACATTCACACAATAAAACAAAGATATAAAATTTAAAAATAAATAAACAAATAAATAGCACAAAATGAGATGGGCATAGTAACACACACCTTAATCCCAATACTTGGGAGATGGATGCAGGAAGATCAGGCATTCAAGGGTTATCCTCTGCTACAAAGTAATTTTTTAGGAATTGACAAAATGGCTCAGTAGGTAAAGACATTTGCTACTACACCTGATGACCTGAGTTTGACCCCTGGAATCCAAATGATAGAAGGAAAAGACTGACTCCCAAAAGCTGTTCTCTGAACCTCATTTACACCTCATGAAATGCAAATACTCAAACAAGTCCACAATAAATAAATAGTTAAAAAAATCAAAGTGATTTTCAGGCTAGCCTGAATGCATAAGATACTGTCTCCAGAAAGAAGGAAAATGCAAAGGGCTGGGGGACACAAGTTCAACAGTACAGCACTTGCTAGCACGAGCAAGATAAGGTGGAAGGCAGAGCGGGGGAGAAGCTTAAAATGTGAAAAGTTCCTTCACAAAATGAAGCATGCTGTTTAGAAATACGCAGTATTTGAAGTTAGCTTAATGAGGGTCAAGAAACTGATTAAAAGAAAACACCTTCAAGGGTCTCAGAACAGCAACAACACCTGCATGAGCATGCACACACACAGATTTTTAAGAGTCTGTGAGCACTGGCCTGTGTTCATGTATATGTGCACATGTGCATGTACATGCGGAAGCCAAAGATGGACATCAGGCATCTTCTTCAGTCACTCCCTAACTTACCCACTGAGTCACAGTTTCTCACTGAACTTGGTGCTCAGGGATTCAGAAAACTCCATGGATACTCCTTTCTCTGCCTTCTCAGAGCTGGGGTTACAGGTACCCAGCATGCTCAGCATTTGGGGGGAAAGGAGAAGGAGGATTGGTTGGTTTCAAGTATGTGTCAGAGACCCAAACTGAAGTCCTAATGCTTATACAGCAAGCACTTTACCAACTGAGCCATCTTCCCAGCCCCCAATATTACTTTTGTAAAATAAAACACATCAAAGTAAATTAAAGAATAAATTTTCATTTTTAATGTCTTAAATTTCTTAAGAAATTTTCATTTCTTAATCTTATTCTCTGTCTTGCTGACCATAAAATCCTATTCATCCTTAAGTTGAAGCCTTCAATATTTAATGGCCTTATTCATCAGAATTTTCTGCCATTCTTTCGGCCTCATCAAGCCATCATTAAACTTTAAAGCTATCCAATAATATTTCCCGAGTTTAATTATCCAAATATAAGCCATCTTGTATCTTATCTGTACCAATGAACACATAGAAGCAGATGAGACAAAAGTTCTCATTGTAAACAGTGAGCAAGCACTGTGACATACACTTGTAACCCCAATACTGCAGGAGACACAGGCAGAATGAACACACTTTGTAGCTCTACAAAGCAAGACCCTGTCTTATGGCCCCAGAGGGGGAGATTTTAATTTTTACTATCTTAATGTTTGTTTTCCTCACTATTTCCCACTGGATGAATATATAAATCACTTTAAAAAACTGAATTTAAGGTTATTTAAGTAATCATGTATCACTTCCTTTCCAAAGACCTGCTTCTATATTAGCTACATTTATACTGGCCTACAGTCCCAGCACACCAGCCTAGATAACACAAGACTCAATGGGCAGGTGAGGGAATAGCCTTGTGTTAAAAATTGCAGCTTATTATAAAAGACAAGTAGAACATTTCTTAGTCCAATGTTCTAATCTAAGCATGGTATAACTTTGGGATTTAAGAGGCTGAAGAAAAGAGACTACAGGACAGGAGGGATGGCTCTGCTGTTTACTGCCCTTGCAGAGGACCTAAACTCAGCTACAAATATCTACAGCAGGAGGCCATAAACACCTGCAACTCCAGCTCTAAGCTTTCCAGTGCTCCCCCCCTCCCTGCCTGTGCAGACACCCACATATATGGCAAAAGCACACACAAATATACACAGAGAAAAAGATGCTCCTGCAAAAATTCTATTTTAAAATCCAAAATTAACACATTAAAATCCCTGGTTAAAAAATAAAAATCCCCAAAGACAAGGCAAATAGTTTGTGTTTAACAATTATGACCAGATAAATAAAAGTTAAAAAAAAAAAAAAAGGCCAAAACAGTTCTACCAGCTAGACATGGGAACACATGCCTACAATTCTAGCATAGTGAAGACTGAAGCAGCATGTTTAAACTCCCTCTTTGAACTCCCTCATTGAACTCCCTCTTCTGTCCTCTATAGGCTCCTACAAACACTTAGCACATATACATACACACACATATACACATTAAAATAAATCTTAAAAAAATAGATTTAATTCACTGCCAAATCCTGCAGAATTTCTACCTTCATACTTTAATGTTCCTCAGAATAGCTTTTTAACTGGTCTTTAATATTTCAAACAAAACTCAGCTGTTAACCCCAAATCATTCTGCACAGTACTGAAAGAACAATTAACCTTTCTAAAAAAAAAAAAAAAAAAAAAATAGCACCATGTAACTCCTGACCCTTACCACATTTTCTTCTTTGGAAGGGGGCGGGCCTTCTTCAATGCTTCCCACATTGAATTCAACTTTAATGCTTCATAAACCAACTCTATTTTACTTATATACAATAATTTGCTACAATTCCCCAGATTAACACTTTCTTCCAGAAAAATCCAACGTCTTACATTCCCCTCCCATCATGTCAGCAAGCTCATGCTTCCACGCCACACACAGTGTGGAATATTCCTTGGAGATACTCTGAAGATACAAATAGTTCATATTCTTTATTTACGTCCTACTCTCTTCAGAAAGCCGCAGCCCACAACTCTGACGTGAAGACAAGGGACTGGAATTGATATATTATAGACATTACTTGAATACTGCTCTGGACAGTGCTGGTTATACTATTACAAAGAGTCCTTGTCAAGATAAACGCAAACTGCTGCTTTCCAGCATGTGGTCTATAATAGGCACTCAGCCATTTGAAAAGCTGACTACATGCTCCTGATTAAAATTAAAAGTACTTTATTATGTCGAAAGAGTTTAGTACAAAAGAAAACAATGTCATGACTAGGATTTGATTCAAAGTGGTTCAGGGCAAAGAGTAGCAGGAAGAAAGGTAAAGTGAGTGGGGCAGAGATGAAACCAAACTGTGCAATGATAATCTTTGCGGCTCAGTGACAAACTACAGTGCAATCCACAGTTACTTTGTATTTGCTGAATTTTTTTCACAAAGTCCAATTTTTTTAAAAAAGATTTAGGCTCGGAATATAGCTGAGTGGTAGAGTGCTTTCCCACTACATATAAGCTCTAAAGTCAAATCCCAGCTCTCTGGCCCCCATTTAAAAAAAAAAAAAAAAAAAAACTTAATAGTCTTAACTTTATTTTAAATATACACAAATCACATTATAATACCTTTTTTGTTGTTGTTTTGTTTTGTTTTGTTTTCTGTTGAGGATACTGGTGCAGGGGCAAACAAAAGATTTAGTTTAGAGCTGGGCATGGTGGTGCACACCTGTAATCCCAGCACTCTTAGAGGCAGTGGCAGGTGGATCTCTGTGAGTTCCAGGCCAGCCTGGTCTACAAAGTGAGTCCAGGACAGCC